GTTTGTATCCGGCCTTTTATTTTTTATAAATAACTCAAGGTGACGAACACACTCAACACACCTCCTTTTTTCCCCATGACAACAACCCTGCGAGGTGGGTTAGCCTGCGAGAGAGACCCAAAGTCACCCACCCAGCTGTCATGCCTAAGGCAAAACTAGAATTCACAGTCTCCTGGTGATTGGCCCAAAGTCACCCAGCCTGATTTAGGGCCTAAGGCGGGACTAGAACTCACCGTCTCCTGGTAATTGGCTCAAAGACACCCAACTGACTTACATGCCTTTGGCGGGACTAGAACTCACCATCTCGTGGTGATTGGCCCAAAGTCACCCAGCCAGCTTTCATTCCTAGGGGGAATACAACTTACAGTCTCCTGGTGGTTACCCAAAGTGACCAGCTGACTTTCATGCCTAAGGCGGGACTAGAACTCACTGTCTCCTGGTGATTGACTCAAAGTCACCCAGCCAGCTTTCATGCCTAAGGTGAGACTACAACTTACAGTCTCCTGGTGATTGGCTCAAAGTCCCCAGCCGGATTTCATGCCAAAGGTGGGACTAGAACTCACCATCTCCTGGTGATTGGCCCAAAGTCACCCAACTGACTTTCATGCCTATGGCAGGACTAGAACTCACCATCTCCTGGTGATTGGCCTAAAGTCACCCCGCCAGCTTTCATGCCTAAGGCGGGACTACAACTTACAGTCTCCTGGTGGTTACCCAAAGTGATCCAGCCGACTTTCATGCCTATAGTGGGACTAGAACTCACAGTCTCCTGGTGATTGGCTCAAAGTCACCCAGCTGGCTTTCATGTCTATGGCGGGACTAGAACTCACCATCTCCTGGTGATCGGCCCAAAGTCACCCAACTGACTTTCATACCTACAGCAGGACTAGAACTCACTGTCTCCTGGTGATTGGCCCAAAGTCACCCAGCCAGCTTTCATGCTTAGGGCAGGACTACAACTTACAGTCTCCTGGTGGTTACCCAAAGTCACCCAGCTGACTTTCATGCCTAAGGCGGGACTAGAATTCACCGTCTCCTGGTGATTGGCCAAAGTCCCTCAGCCAGCTTTCATGCCTAAGGCGGGACTAGAACTCACAGTCTCCTGGTTTCTATCCTGATGCTTTAATCACTAGTCCAAACTGGCTGGCTGTTTGAATTTTGCTAAAGTCTACCGTTACGAATAAGTGTTGAAGTACAAAGGCATTTGAAGAATGAACAACTGTCTTCTGACATGGTGCTTTTTGATTTTATAACCAGAGGCAGATTATGTAGCAATCAGGAACCACTTTATGGAAGCCCGGCCTCAACTCCCAGCCATGTTCATTGCTACCCCGAAAGACCAACAATTGTCACTGTGGACCAGAGAGAAGCCATCACCTCAGGTATGTCGAGCTGAGGCCATCTTACCTGGGCAGTCTCTTCTTCCCTTCTCTGCTTCTCGTTGTGAATCAGACCAGCTGTTGGACGCCTCTGTTGGCAGTGATAAATGAAAGGTTGGGCTTAAAGGCCTGTCTTTCATGTCACCAAAGTCTGTTTGGGCAAGTGGTCTCTTCTCCTCACTTGGTTGCCAGAGAACTGAAGTGACATCTCATTGCCCGCTCAGCTTTGTGCGGTCCTGGGGGCTCTCTGAGCTTGGTGGTTTTCTTAGAGACGTTTCATTACCCAACTAGGTAACAACAGCAATGCTAGATGGGAGAGGAGGGGGAGGAGCATGATCTCAGATGATCTCTGAGCTTGGTGGTTTTCTTGTGGATGTTTCATGACCCAACTAGGTGACACCATGAGTGCTAGAAGGGAATGGGGTTTGATGAGAAGGAGGAGGAGAAGGAGGACAATGACCATGGACTCAGATGCTCTCTGAGCTTGGTGGTTTTCTTTGAGACATTTAATCACCCAACTAGGTAACAACATCAATGCTAGATGAGAGAGGAGGAAGAGGAGGAGGACCATGGACTCAGATGCTCTCTGAGCTTGGTGATTTTCTTTCAGACATTTCATTACCCAACTAGGTAACAACATCAATGCTAGATGGGAGAGGAGGAGGAGGACCATGGACTCAGATGCTCTCTGAGCTTGGAGGTTTTCCTGTCGACGTTTCATTACCAAACTACATAACCTCATCAGGGCTCGAAGGGAGTGGGGTTTGCTCTCTGTTTATATAGTAGTAGCTTGGCCTGTCAGTGTTGGTGGGACTTCTTAGTCGTTCCTTAATTGGGCTATTATTTATTGAGTTGGTAATCAACCAAAAATAGGCAGCAAACCTCACTCCTTTTTTAGCGTTGATGCTGTTTCCTAGTAGGGTTATGAAACGTCTGCAAAAAAGCATCCAAGCTCAGAGAGCACCAAGGGCCCTTCATTTCAACTCTTGAGCTACAAATATTCTCTTTTGTCGCCACTCAGTTTTCGACCCAGTGATGAAAACGCCGAGCTGAGAGATAAGATAAATACAGAGAGTCCTCAGGTTATGACGGTAATTGGGACTGAAATTTCCACCGCTCAGCCACGTGCTTGCAAAACGCAGTGTCCCGTAACCACATTGATCAGTGACGGCAAGCGCACCGCACGATAAGCATAGAGTCAAGTGATGCTTAAACTTAGGACCGCAGCGACTTAACGCTGGGATGAATTATCGTCGTAAGTCGAAGATCACGTGTGCAACGAAGAGTACAGATAGTTCTCGACTTACAAACGTTTGTTTTGTGAC